CTAGAGCCCCGCTGCCCCCCACGCCCAGAGGCCTCTCGCCCGCCTCCTCAGTAAAGCCCGCCCACGCTCCTGGCTTCGGACAGGGAAGCTCCGCCCCGCTCTCTGGAGGGCGGGGCTGCGACGGGAGGCCCAGCGTGGCGCAGAGACAGGAACTGCGGCGGCCCCACCCGGCCTTTCGGCATCAGACGGGCAGCGCCAGGAGAGGAAAGGCGCATGCGCCCCCCGCCCCGCTGCCCAATGGGAGAGGCGGAGGGGGCGGGGCGGCGAGGTGCCGGCGGGGCCTCTGCTTCGCTCCTTGCAGCACAAGGGACAGGGCCGCAGAGGGAAGGGGGAGCTGCCTCTTCCCTCCTGGCTGGCGCGCGGCGCAGGTGGCGGCGCACGATGGCGGCGGAGGATGGTGACGGCGAAGGGGTCCGAGTGCTGCAGAACCTGCGGGGGAAGATCTGTGAGTGAGGGGAGCGGGGCCAGGACCCCACAGGGGCCTTTCTGCCTGGGCTGCCGCGCTGAGTCCCCGCTGTGGTCTTGAACCTCCGTCCCTCGGTCCTCCCCGTGCGGGAGCTGCCCCCCTTCCTGCTTCTTGGGCCGGCTACGGGGGTGAGGAGGCGTCTCGGGGCGGGTGACGTTTACCCCGCCCCGAGGGGCGAGACGGCTACAGGCAGTTGGTGTCCGAGTGGAGGCGCTCGCGAGCGGGGTGGTGACGCGGGCGGGTGGCGTGGGTGTCTGTGGGAGATGTGGCGGTGTCTGGGCTGCCTAAGGCGGACATGATCCTGGGTGGCTCTGTGGGAGCTATGGCTTTGGGGCTCTGTAGCTTGTCGTGGGCATGGTGGCCAGTGGGTATAGATGGAGGGCGTAGGGTTTTGTGGAACCAGGGTCAGTATGGAGGGGGGGTGTACTAGGGAACGAGTGAAGATGTGAGGCAGGGTGAGTATGGATGGAGTAGTAGTGGGGTTCGCTGTGGGCATGGGAGGAGGGTTCTGGGTGTTTTGGAGGGTAGGGCAGGCATGAGTAGGAGATTCGCTTTTCTGCCTAGAGGTGGTAGATTAGATGTCGGGCTGGGTTGCTGTCTGTATGCGTCTCTTCGAAGGAATTATTGAGGCTGGGAGCTTGGTGGATAGGTCCAGGGAAGGCTGGGAGTGGGAGGGAGTTGGTGAGGAAAGGGCCCGTAGGCAGTTCAGATAGGGAGACTCGATGGCCAGGAGCATGACTGACAAATGCAGTCAATTGGCACTGTGGAAGTTGCTCTTGGGAGTAATGGATTTCCATTTGAGGGCAGAGAATTAGCTATTGAGAGCAGAAATGACACACACAGGAAATTGACATGTAGTTGAGAGTGCTGTTGAGCAGTTGGAGTTGAGATGCTGCAACCAGTGTGCACTTCAGTGAAGCATTTTTTTATGCCAACAAACACAAACTCAGCTCCACAAAACCTTAGGCATAAGAGTCTATTTGTCAAGCAAATCTTGCGAAATTATTGATGCAGCAGGAAGTTGGTACAAGGCTACTTTGGAAACAGTAACATGTTAATGTGGGGTGGGGTGGGGAGAGAGAGAGAGTGTCAGATTTTTCTTGCTGGGTGCAGAATGGCAATTATAGCAAAAAAATACATAAAATCAGTAACGTGGAAAACCAAAGTATGAATGTCTTAAAACATGAGGGCATGGGGAAAGGAGAGGGAGACAAATAACGTGTGATGCGACTGACAAGGACTTCAAAGCAGCTGAGAGAAACAGGATGTGTGGTGGCTTCCTGAAGGGTTATCGAAATGCATTCATATAACTCAAATGTAACCCATTTATTTCCTTTCTCACGCATTTAATCAATCTTTTTTTATACAGTAATTCATGAAAAGGAAATGCAATATGATGAAATTTGGCAATGGAGTAGAATTAATAATCTGTTATATATTTGGATTTATCTATGTTAATTCAAGCAGGAAAAAGGAAACAACAAAAATACATACATTTCTACAATATAATATCCACTATGAAAAAACTTCTGATTTTTTTCCAACAGAAGTGTGACACGATACATCTGTTTAGGGTTTTATATCATGCTTCTCCATGATTTATAAGCAAAATATGAGGGGGACCCTTCTCTTAACTTCTGGTTTCTGTATTTCATTCTGCAAATTAATTGGCAGTAGCTGATTTTTTTTCAATCAATATTTGAAGCCAGGATAAATATGATTTAAAAACTCAGGTGTATTCCCAAACTTGATATTAATGTCTGAATTTGACCTTTGTCAATGAAAGACCAGATTATGAGAATAGTACAGTATCCAGTGTAGCTTGAGAGGGAGTATTAATGAAGGCTGTTGCCTAGATTTGCATACTCAAGAGGCAAAATCTTAAGGTTTGGTTTTGGTGTTTTTCTCTCTTGAGATTTCAGGTGCATCTAAATTGGTGCAGAAATAATGCAGGAGAAGCTTTTACTGTGATACTTTGGTACCGCCAGTCCTGGCAAGGATGCAAAATGGAAAAGCAGTTGAGTCTTTAGTTCAGTTGAGCCTCTTAGATCACTATTGAGTTCTTGTGGTAGAAAGCAGGTACAGGCAGTCCCTGGGTTACGTACAAGATAGGGACTGTAGGTTTGTTCTTAATTGGTGCAGAAATAATGCAGGAGAAGCTTTTACTGTGATACTTTGGTACCGCCAGTCCTGGCAAGGATGCAAAATGGAAAAGCAGTTGAGTCTTTAGTTCAGTTGAGCCTCTTAGATCACTATTGAGTTCTTGTGGTAGAAAGCAGGTACAGGCAGTCCCTGGGTTACGTACAAGATAGGGACTGTAGGTTTGTTCTTAAGTTGAATCTGTATGTAAGTCGGAACTGGCGTCAGCCGCTGCTGAA